CTACAGCTACACATCACAACCACAACCAGAAATACGTGGTTGTGTTACAGCTGCTCAAGTTGCTAAACAAGATATTCTATTAAGAAATGGATAATAAAACGTTAAAATATGTATATTAAATTACAATATATAACAACAACATATATATAGACTTATAACTATTAAAGAGTGTGCAATAATATGTACATTATATTACAGTATATAACGATATATAGAAAATAAGACATTCAAATATATAACGTTAACAGAAGTGTAACTGATACTATGATCAGTACTAATAATGCTATTAAAAATGAGTATTTAAATATTAAATATATTCGTTTGTTGTCGTTATTTGTTTGTTCTTTAATATTTCTCTAGAACTCAATTGATTTAATAACTCATTTACCCAGCTTTAACTGTGCTAAGTTAACACAAAGGATGGCACATCCGTTTTTACTACATTAACGTTAGTAGTTTTAAGAAAATTAGCATAATATTGCTATTACTACGGTATTACATTTAAGTCCTGATACTAAGTAGGAGAGCTCCAACCTACAGTCACAGGAAAATAAGAGAAACACAAGACAACATTACCTGTCACTTTTATTGACTCCAGCATCCTCTGTTAACGTCTCTGTAAACCTAAAACACCGTGCTGCTGTTCCAACAGTACAAACGTTACTTAGCAAGTCAACCTAACGTTAGCTTAACCAGCCGGCTAATATTTGTTCAAATAGAGACAAGAAAGCGAGATACCTGTAGTGACTACGTATTACGACACGCAGAAATATATATATATATATATATATTTAAAACATTTCCCTGACTAACAGCTGAGCTGACAGTCACTGTCCCGCCTACACCGAGCCTCCTCAGCCAAACTGACGAGGAAGAGCCGAGCTGTCCGTGTAGCTCTGCATGAGCTGTTTCCATGGTTTCGCTGGTAACTACGTAATACCAATGGTAATACACACGGACGCTCATGGGAAATGAAGTCCCTCTGAGAATAGGTTAGTGAAAATATCCGCGTTTGGTCTTAAATGTTCCGAGATTCATACACATAATATGTAATTCAGCACTAATATATTGTCAGTGGATTGAATTTAGTGTTAATATTATTGAAACTCAGGCACTTGTTGCTATTAGACACCATGATTGTAGTTTTCTATTGATAGGTGGCACCTGTTACCTGCTGGCATTTGTAAAATTACTTATTATGATCCAGATAACTAATTTAATTTAAGTGAAGACCCTCGTGTATACTGCTTAATTTAAATAAATGAAAAATTACAAATAGTCTGCTTGGGACAATAATATGGAATATAAGAAGAAAAAAATATTTTTGACCAGAGGGGGACTTTAAGGTAGTATTAAACAATGGGAATAAATATATAAATTAAAAACATCCAATAACTATAGTTGATTGTTGAGTCTAGCTTTTATTCCCCACCAACTGTTATTTTATTTTATGGAAAACAGAACCCTTTTACGACATCTTATTTGTTCACGCCTTGTTTTATCATATGTAGCTTTCCAACCCTAGTAAAGTACACAACGACCTACAACCTAATTTTCATCAAAACAAACCGGCCTCTGCACTGCTTGAATAACACTGATCTTTATGTACAGTGCGCAGGGACCGTCAACAAATTTCAATAACGGAAAGATAATCAATAACTGTACTCTCATATATTGTAGCCTCACCAAAATCACTGTACACATCATTGGCCCCCTCCTGGTTATACTACAACTGATATTTTTTTATATAACAAAAGACTTTTGTATATTGTTGGGGATTTTTAAATAACTCAATAATAACTCAACTATTATGAACTGTAGTGCTACTATATTAACTCCACACATCATTGTTGCACAACTCACAATACCAAGGGGTATCTTTGTTTGGGATTTGTGCTGCTGTCATTCCGAGGCACTGCGTGTGAAACCATCCTGTACAAGTTTCACACTGAATCTACATAGGGATAAAAAATTTAACATTGAAATGTTCACTTTAGCAAATCTGTAATGCATACAAGTATACAAGATTTGATTACTCTAGTATTATCTCAGGAATTTCAATTTGAGATTATCTGCAGATTATCCACTATTCAGATCATCCACTGATGTTTTCAAACAATTAAAGATAGATTCTCACCCAAACAGCATCAACAGTGGTTGGCAGTAAGTCCTTATTTCCACAGAAGGAACAGAAGTCATCCTTTGCCACTAAAAATAATTAAGCTATATTACTGTCATGTTTGTAGGAAGTTGTCAACATAATAATGTAATATTTTGAACAATACCTGATCCTCTCAGAATTTCTTCTGACATTTCTCTTCTTAGATTTTGAAGAGATTTTTTAGATGACTCAATGCGAAATGTCTGCGGTATGTTGATGGAAATTCCATCACCGTCATCTTAGCCATCTGTATGTCAAAACATTACATGTGCTATGTATAAGTAAAAATAATCACTTTTGCAAAGTAATCAAATCAATTTGCAAAGTCATTCAGTATTTCAGTACTCTGTCTAGATATCCTCCTGGTACAGAAAGTTGTTATTGAAATAACCCACCTCTTTTGAATTCATGAATATTTCCCACAATATTAACATTGTTGTGTTTTTTTAGATTTTGTAGGTTTTGTAAGATGGGCTCGGGTTGAACTGTGTCCTGGAGTGAACCACACTCTGGGAGTGAACTGCCTGACTGATGCTTAATGTGTCTTCACAATGTTTCTAGCTGTCAAAAAGACTTTGTGGTTTCAGCATCAACAAATGTAAATGGCTTGAATTTAATGTATTTAGCAAAAAAGTACCTCTGTTGTGGGCTTGGACCTCGTAGATGAGAGGCCAGTGCTGCTGTTGTTCTCATTTGTCTTCTGAAGATCTTTGCTCTTCTGAAGATCTTTGCCAGTGTTCAAAGCTGACTTTGCTTTCTTTGGAACAGGAACAGTGGTTGGAGCAGTGTAGAATTTGGAGCCAGTGTGGGGTTTTGCTCCGTCTCTCTTTGCCCAACTCTCCTGTGATTGACCTATGTCCTTTTGTTGCATGGGTTTTAGGAGTAACCTGCTTCAGATAACTGATGACACATGTATGTGTTTCTTTATATCTACCTGTAAGAGAGGCAAAACATTTTCTGCAAAAGGGCCCTGGTCACAAGTCTCCTCTGTTTTTAGAATGGAAATGTTCACTATTCAAACATCTTCCAACCAATCTGATCTTGCAAGTGAGCTTAATTGACAGTGGCTCTGATTGGACGGTATAGAGGTCAGCTTGGGGTGACATGTGCACCAATTTTATTTCTGCAACAGGTTGGTCAAGTCTGTTATGTTTTATATGCTATTATAGATAAACAAAATAAACATCACCAAGAAGGTACAAATGATGGTTTACAGTTGCGTTTGGTGGAAGCTATCAGTTCATCACATATGTAGTTATTGATATTTATCCAAATAAAAAATCCCCAAAATATGAAAAGTGTTTAATTATATGAATAAACAGTTGTAGTATCACCAGGAGGTGTGAATATTGTCAGTGAATATTTGGTGAGGCTACAATATATGAGAGTACAGTTATTGATTATCTTTGTGCTTATCTCTTTTCGTTATTGAAATATTGTTGACGGTCCCGTGCGCACATCGTCTCACCGCCGAGGTGTGCATA